GCATTAGCAGCCATTCTCTATCCCTCTGCATTGATTTCACACTTCTCTATCCTGTTAGCTTTATACCATTTACTTTAACACTGACTTTTCTGTTAGTATGTCATCTACATTTACTCTGCTTGAAAAGACTTTAGGACTTATTTCAATATAGAAGTTCAGCTGCAGCTGTGGATCATAAAACATGTCTGAAAGTGAGCATTAGTCTGTAATGCTATGTCTCCCAACTTTCACCACCCATAAATGGCTAAACTTGTTTTTCATCATCATAAGTAAGCTTTGAATTCTGCAATCAGATTTTTTTTGCTTTGGAATTATTTATTTGAAGACATTTCAGTACAAGAATGTAAAAAAATAAGTGCAACTCGTAACTCATAACATTCATTGTCAAAAAAAATCCTTATACGTATATTTAAAATCAATACCAACTTAAAACGAATTATGTCAGTTTCTATGCATTAATAATTCATGAAAATCAGATGTGAAAACTACACATACAAAAAATTAATAAATCATACAACAAAAACAGTGATACATCAATAAATAAATATTAAAATATATTAAGAAATATTGTTCTTTGAGTTTTTATCAAAGTCTATGAAATGTAAACATCTCCTCAAGTGAATAAAGTGCTTCAGTGCTCTCAAACAGGACATGTGACAATACTTCATGTGGTACCTGTCACAAGTTAGCCTGCAGTTTCTTGTTTGCGTTCTTCTCTTCTTGCTGCAGTGCTGTTTCTGATCCCTTCACAAGTGTGTTTGTCTGTGCTCACCTATGGGCGTTGTCTGCTGTTCTCTGGGTTTTATTTCCTTCCCTTCCATCACTTCCTTGGTCCGCCTCCTTGTTTGCCTGCCTATATAAGATATGCCTGAGCAATTTCCTAGTTGTCGGAGCTCCTGTGTGTTGCTATTGCCTGTATCCTGCATTGACTACTTGTGTACCTTCGTTCTCTGACTGTGCTTGTTTTCTGCTTGCCCTGACCTCCTGACCTTGGCTAGTCTATCGGATTTCGGCTTGTCTCCTCCCATTGTACTCTGCTCCCACGAGCGGTCTCCTAATCCTTAGCTGGGCGTACCTGGGGGCCTCGACCTGGTCCCAGCTTGCTGCAAGTCCATCCCCACCATCAGGGGCTCTGGTGAAGAAGCAGACTGGGGCTTAGACTCCGCACCCTGGGGAACCCCAAGTTGAGTATCTACAAGGGCTCACTACCACAGGTGCTGACAGTTTGCTCAGGCCATGAGCTCCTCGGAGACACTGCAGCCTCTCCTGGAGCAAATTCAATGTTTGGAGCAGAGAGTCGATGTCCAGCAGGCCTATCAAGAACAAATTATGCACTGTCTGCAGGAACTCTCCTCCCAGGTGGATCAGCTGCAGGTTGTGTCCACTTCCTCACCCTCTGTTTCAGCTCCTGTCCTGGCTCCTGCTCCGGTTCCTGCTGCTCCAACTCCCGCTGTTCCCCCCAGTGGAACACAGTCCTTTGAGTTTTCATCAGAAGTTTCCCCTTAAGCCTGGCCCTAAAAAAGTGGGTAGACCTCATAAGAAGGGGGGTACTGTCACAAGTTAGCCTGCAGTTTCTTGTTTGTGTTCTTACCTCTTTGCTGCAGTGCTATTCCTAATCCCTTCACATGTGTGTTTGCCTGTGCTCACCTATGTGCGTCGTCTGCTGTTCTCTGGGTTTTATTTCCTTCCCTTCCATCACTTCCTGGCCCGCCTCCTTGTTTGCCTGTCTATATAAGATACACTCAGTCTAGGCCACTGTGCCTGAGCAACTTCCTAGTTGTCGGAGCTCCTGTGTGTTGCTATTGCCTCTATCCTGCATTGACTACTTGTGTACCGACCCTGGCTTTGTTCTCTGACTGTGCTTGTTTTCCGCTTGTCCTGACCTTGGCTAGTCTATCAGATTTCCGCTTGTCTCCTCCCATTGTACTCTGCTCCTCTTCCTCAGCTGGGCGTACCTGGGGGCCACGAATTGGTCCCAGCTTGCTGCAAGTCCATCCCCACCATCAGGGGCTCTGGTGAAGAAGCAGGCTGGGGCTTAGACTCCGCGCCCTGGGGAACCCCAAGTTGAGTATTTACAAGGGCTCACTACCACAGGTGCTGACAGTACCACACACCATATAAATTGTTCCAACACACCATATAAATTGTTCCACCAGTGATAATAGGTGTCTGCTCACCTTAGCAGTAGGACTCCTTAATTACAGGAGTTCTTAAGCACTAGAGACACCCTCTGGACAACTGCTCCTTCACCACTCTTCTCCTTAAAAACACAGGACTAAGCCTCAGAGAGAAATGCAGCTGAATGCCCTACAGGGTTAAACTTCTCCTCCACTTCACCAGTCATATATCAATCAGAATACAAGGGAATAAAAACAACTCATAGTGCTCTATGTCAAATAGTTTATTAAAAATAACAGTAAATGCACTTACATCAAGTAATATCAGAAGTACACGTACAAATGCAATTTGGCAAAAATTCTTCCTCAACAGAGGCCAATAGCCTCATCTGTGATCCTGATCCTGCAGATAGCACTCAGATCAGCTCTGTGTAGTGTGATTACATCACCAACAGGCACCACCTCTACTCATTACCTTTGTATTATTCTTATTTCGGGTGTAACATGTTCTAGCACATGTTCCCTCACCCCCCAATTCCCCCCCCCCATCACAGCAGGAGGGGGTTCCTCTCCCCACAAATGCTATCACATTTTAAAATCGCTCATTCAGCCGCATCATTCATTCACAGTAATCTGTGAATGAAGAAACTACAGGTCCTGTCTTCCACCACAGCAGACAGCTTGTAGTTTCAAAGGACTGTGAGAGTGCTGATCAGCTTGCTCATATTTCATTTCCAAGTTCTGCAGCTTTCCAACTGAAAGCCTAGAAAGAAGCATGAACAGAAAGCTGTAGGACTTGTCTGCAGGAGCCTAACATTGTACAAAGGATCCACTAACTGGGGATACAATGCTTTGCAGGCTCCTAGAGGAAAAAATAATACACTTTTTTTTTCTTGCAAAAATATGTCCATTTATTATTTTTCCCCAAAGGTAAACTTAGCCTTTCAGTAATAATCAGTCAAATTGTGTAGCAGTTTTTGTATTTTCATCTTCCTTCTTGCAGTTCAATCTAAAAAATAAAATCTAGAACAAAGGATTTAGATTTTTTTTTAAAAAGTCAGTGTAGCGCTACCCATGCTGGAGACATCTGCAAAGAATGGGTTCTCTTATTAGTTGCCTTGACCTTTCCAAAAATCTCAACCTCTCTGACTTACCTGGGGGGGGGTGTAGCCCTATATAAATATATATATACAGATAGTACCATAAAGCCCACTGTACTGGTATCTGACACCCAGCAACAATTTTCTCTTAGATATATGAATAACAAGTCAGAGAATAAAAGGGTAACTCAGTATATTGTAAGTCAATAGGTAACCGTATAGATATAAATTGGATTGAGAACAAGATTGACAATAAATTGACATTCAAGTTATTAACTGACGGCATGTAAGGTACCCTTAGAGTTGAGTCTCCATTCAAGCTTAAACCGTAACAATGCCACCAGTAGTGCAACCATGAGCATAGAAGGAATTTGAACTAAAAACAGGTAGGGTTATACTGCTCACGTGCACTGAGGTTAGCTATGCAAGGCCTAGACTGAATGGAAAACATCAACCAAAAAGTGATGACAAAATAGACTAAAGGGACTAATGGGGGGATAATAGGAGGGACAGTCTCTAATATGATCTATCTGTCAGCTATCATTGGTGCCCTTGAAGAACATTGGTGCACTTGATAAAAATTCCCTTGAAATCCTGCATGCAATGAATAGTCAATCAGCTTATCTTAGTAGAGTACTTAGTGTCTGTCAGGAATGGACTCACCAATGATGGTGGGACTCACCTGCCTTGTGGGCTGCAGTACCAGGGCTGGCCAGCGGGTGCTCTCAGCAACCAGAAGCTCATTCCTGCAATCAGCCATCACCTGAGGCTGATTGCAGGAGGTGTATTTAAGGAATGGCCAGACTTGCAGTCAGTGCCTTGGTGTTTGTTTCCCATACCTGGGGTCGCACATTCCCTGGTAGATCAGGGCACAGAGTTCTCTGAGGTGCAACCATTAATTCAGGCTTGTGTGGAGTTGGCTTCAGCTAGAACCCCTGAAAGCAGGGATGACTTTTTTCCCCCATTCAGTGCAGATCAAGTGGAATCGCTGGTATGGTTGTTGGAGGAGGATCCAGATTGCTTCCATGAGCATTATGCAGCTTGTCCATCACATGTGCTAGTGGAGTGTATAGACGCAGTGCAGTATTTGGTCAGACAGGCTATGTGTAAGCGGAGTTGTGTTCAACCCATACTACAGTCCTGGGCAGACTTGTTACACCCAGCCTCAGTCAGCTTGCAACAAGCCAGTCCTGCTTCTCATCATTCCTCTGCTCAAAGCTCTCTTCCTGCACTCCCGACAGCACCCCCAATGACAGCCCAGTATACCCTGCTAGCTACCACATGTCAGTACCCTGCTCCCACTCGCTGCACCTATCCTGCCTGTAACCCTGTAAAGAAGTCCTCTGTAGCAACTGCTCCCTCCTCTGTTCCATCCCCCAGCTCTTCTCTGCCTACAGCTGCTCTATCCGTTTACAAACCTGCGCTTACTTACAGTGCTCCAGTAACTAAAACCAGGAAAAGGCGAAAATTATTTTCAACCAGTACCATCCTACCAGTATCCAAACCGGTCAGCCTGCCGTCTGTAAACCCGCCTTCCGTTGTTCAGCCTGATGCCCTGATGCCTGATGACCCAGTGTACGCTACCCAGCCTGATGACCCGATCCGGCCTGATGACCCGGTCCGGCCTGATGACCTGGTCTGCCTGATGATCCTACCCAGCCTGATGATCCTATCCAGCTTGATGATCCAGCCTGATGACCCGTTGTTCGTGATCCAGCCTGATGACCCGATCCAGCCTGGTGCCTCGGTGCCCGTGGTCTGGCCTGGCCTGGTGCCTCGGTGCCCGTGGTCCGGCCTGGTGACTCGGTGCCCGTGGTCCGGCCTGGTGACTCGGTGCCCGTGGTCCGGCCTGGTGACTCGGTGCCCGTGGTCCGGCCTGGTGACTCGGTGCCCGGTCCGGCCTGGTGACTCGGTGCCCGTGGTCCGGCCTGGTGACTCGGTGCCCGTGGGTCCGGCCTGGTGACTCGGTGCCCGTGGTCCGGCCTGGTGACTCGGTGCCTGTGGTCCGGCCTGGTGACTGGGTGCCCGCTGTTCTGCCAGATAACTCGGTGCCCGCTGTCGTGACAGATAACTCGGTGCCCGCTGTTGTGCCAGATGACTCGGTGCCCGCTGTCGAGCTGCCAGATGACTCGTGCCCGCTGTCGAGCTTGGTGACTCGGTGCCCGCTGTCGTGCCAGTTGACCCGGTGCCCGTTGTCGTGCCAGTTGACCCGGTGCCCGCTGTCGTGCCAGTTGACTCGGTGCCCGCTGTCATGCCAGTTGACTCGGTGCCCGCTGTTCTGCCAGATGACTCGGTGCCCGCTGTCGAGCTTGGTGACTCGGTGCCCGCTGTCGTGCCAGATGACTCGGAGCCCACTGTCGAGCCTGATGGCCCGGTGCCTGCTGCCTCTCCTGATGGCCCGGTGCCTGCTGCCTCGCCTGATGGCCCGGTGCCTGCTGCCTCGCCTGATGGCCCGGTGCCTGCTGCCTCGCCTGATGGCCCGGTGCCTGCCTCGCCTGATGGCCCGCTGCCTGCTGCCTCGCCTGATGGCCCGCTGCCCGCTGCCCCGCCTGGTGACTCGGTGCCCGCTGCTCCGCCTGGTGACCTCGGTGCCAGCTGCTCAGCCTGCTCCGCCTGCCTCTGCCAGCTGCCCAGCCTGACGTGCCTCTGTCCGCTGCCCAGCCTGACGTGCCTCCGTCCGCTGCCCAGCCTGACGTGCCTCCGTCCGCTGCCCAGCCTGACGTGCCTCCGTCCGCTGCCCAGCCTGACGTGCCTCCGTCCGCTGCCCAGCTGACGTGCCTCCGTCCGCTGCCCAGCCCTGACGTGCCTCCGTCCGCTGCCCAGCCTGACGTGCCTCCGTCCGCTGCCCAGCCGGACGTGCCTCCGTCCGCTGCCCAGCCGGACGTGCCTCCGTCCGCTGCCCAGCCTGATGTGCCTCCGTCCGCTGCCCAGCCTGATGTGCCAGCCCCTGATATTCAGCCAGTTACCTGACCCGGGCGGTGGAAGATTTTGCCCACTAAGGACTGTTTGGAGCGTCCTGAGGCTGCTCCTTGAGGGGGGGGTACTGTCAGGAATGGACTCGCCAATGGTGGTGGGACTCTCCTGCCTTGTGGGCTGCAGTACCAGGGCTGGCCAGCCGGTGCTCTCAGCAACCAGAAGCACACTCCTGCAATCAGCCATCACCTGAGGCTGATTGCAGGAGGTGTATTTAAGGAATGGCCAGACCTGCAGTCAGTGCCTTGGTGTTTGTTTCCCATGTGCCCTGTTTCCTGTATCCTGTCTCCTGCCTGCTTGACTCTCCTGCTTGACTCTGACTCTGATAGAACTCCACCTGCACTGACCCCGGCTATTCCTGACCATTCTTCTGCCTGCTCCCGTTGTACCTTTCAGCCTGATTGTTCCTGACCCGGCCTGCCTGACCACTCCACCTCTCCAGCCCTGACTGCACGTGTACCTATTAGTTTAAGGTTTGTTTTGCACTGTGTTTGTTTATTTTGTGCAGCTCATAATAAATATTATTATTATTTAATCATTTCTGAAGTCTGCTGTTTCTCTGTGTCAGTCCACACATCTCTGGTCATACCTGGATCCCTGACAGTGTCTGTGGTCAGATTTAGTTGCTGTTAAATATCCCCTGTGCTCAGTTTCTTTGAGGAGGATGTGGTGGTGGGGGGGATTTATAACATAAAATCCAAACTAGGTCAGGTGTACTGAGATTCTGATACTTAATGCATAATGTCTTGCTCTCAGCAGTTCTGTGAGAAATGATATAGAAAAACTTGGGCTGGCCTCTCACCAAATCTTAGGGCTAGGCGACAGTCTCGGACGATGTAGGTAGAGTCCAGCTATATGTAGCAATGAGCCTGGGAACACTCTGGTCTCCTGGCGACAGTGAGGGAAGTTTGATGCAGCCGGGCTGCTGGATACCTCCTGCTGGCATATGGCACAGAGTCTCACCGATGCAATCCCCCTGGGCTGAGGGTCCGTGGCTGTGTCCCTCAGAACTCCTGGGGCGCCAAGAAAGCTACTTTTCTGATTCTATTTAAGTCTTCCCTTAGCCCCTCCTATGTGTATAGATGGATTTGGTAGTTCAGAAATTCAGCAGTTCCCTTACAAAGTGGTTATTTTAAACTACACCTTACTAAGTTGTCTGCACAAGTGTATCAGTTTGCTTGGCTTTGGCTCTCCCCCCCAGCTTTTCAATTCTGAGAAGCCTGATTATTACAGACTTCAATAGCACAAGATATTTACAGGCACTTATACACAGTTGTCAATTTATGCAGCATCTTACTGACTGTACATGCCCATCAGTTCCTATGTTTATAGCGCTTACAATCTAAGACCCCTATCTTACATACAATTACTAGGGTCATTTTACCAGGAGCCAATTAACCACTCAGCAAGTCTATAAAGTATGGAAGAAAACCCACACAAGCACAAGGAGAACATGCAAACTCCATGAAGATATTGTCCTGGCCAGGATTTGAAACAGTGACCCCAATGCTGAAAGGCAGAAGTGCTAACTCCCCCTATCCTTACAAACATTATGTAGACAGGGCAGTGACTTGTTCCCCACTAATTTGAGTGTTTCAATGAGAAAACAGAATATTTGAAAGAAGACAGGTTCTACTGTTCAATTTTTCAAAATAACCCATAGAATGCTTTGCTATTAATACAATTGATTTAAAATCATTACAGTTTTGTCTTAAGTGCAGTGAACTATATTAACAAATCACAATGTGCCGCTTATGATGTTATGTTAATGAAATACAAAGGGAGGAGCATGTTTGATCTGGGAGAGAGAGCGCAATACACAGCAAACTGCTCCTGCAGGTCTAAGAGCAGCATGATCTTTACACATGCTTACTCTGAAGTGTGAGGGAGGAGGCGGCCTGGTACTTTCATTTAACTGCATAGGAGGCTTCTCTCTTTTTGAGCTGGGGTGGAGACCAAGTTTTGAGTTTCCATATATTGATCGCTCATTGGTCAACGTTTATCTGTCCATGGAATTTTGGCCTGCAACTGATCTGATAGATCCATTGGTACAAATAAAGCCCATTTTGTTACGGCTTATTTATAAGATGAGCTCATACCCTATTGGTGTCTGGTGGTGGTCTGAACATTTTTGGCTTATATTACATAGTTACATAGTTAATCTGGCTGAAAAAAGACAAAAGTCCACCCAGTTCAACAAAAAAAAAAAAAGTTATAATTCTATACCCACCATTGATCCAGAGGAAGGGTAAAAAATCCAGCAAAGCATGATAAAAAAATCCCTTCCTGATCCCCCGAGAGGCAACTTTACCTGTAAATGTTAGTATCTAATTATATTGTGTGTATCTGGGAAATAATCCAGGCCTTTTCTAAAGTAATCCACTGAGCTGGCCAGAACCAACTCTTGAGGGAGTCTATTCCACATTTTCAAGGCTCTTACTGTGAAGAAACCCCTCTGTATTTGGAGATTAAATCTCTTTTCCTCCAGACGTAAAGAGTGCACCCTTGCCCTCTGTGATGACCTAAGGGTGAATAACTCTACACCGAGTTCACTATATGAACCACTGATGTATTAGTGGTATTACAAGTATTACTGACACTGAAGTTTACACTTTATTGTCTGGACATTGATTTCACTGAAAATGGGCTTGCACCTTGTTTATTATTATATTGATTCATGGTTGATGTGTTTTATATATCTTTGATGGGTTATTTCTCTTTTGAGAGTTGTATCATATTTTATGCATGAGTGTTTAATAGCACAGTACTATACAAACAGATCATATTAACAAATCAGATTTCATCTGTAGTGGTCACGAATGCTATGGGTTACTGCATTTAAGAACAAACACTCCTAACTGAATAAGATCTCTGCTTCTCTTTCTTTCTTAAAATTTAACTTTGATCATTATATTTTTTTTCTCTGGCTATTATGCAGGAAGCAGGTTCTATGTTGTTTATTTTCTTTATTTATGATTATCTTTTCAAAATTCATTTTAATGAAATAGCATGTTTACTTTTTTCCTATTCTCTTTATACTAAATTTTTAAGATTTTGTTTCCTCATTTTATTGGAGAAAGAGAGAAACCTTGCCATTTGTGCTAGTTGTTCCTCCTGAATAAAGTAGGAGGAAAAAAAAATCAGTCATTTCAAAAGTCTTTCTTTTTGCAATTGTGGGTGAGATATAAAACACTGCCTCACTTTAGGTCTGCACATTTGATTAAGCAAAAAAAGGAGCCAAAGACTCGTGTCATTTGGAACTTCTGTAAGTAAAAAAAGAAAAGCAGAAGGTAAGGGATGAATACTTGGGTAAATCAGTAATAGAGCTAAAGGGCGTATGCCTGTAGGGAATATGTTGGCATAAAAGAGCTTTAAGAGAGGCCATTCATGCTGACAAAGAGAGATTTGAAATGCTCCCTTTACAAAAGCATGAAAGGATGGGCAAAGGGTGTTCTGAGACAGAGGGGAAATCATACTGCTATGAACAGCTCTAATAAGCTTTTAACTATTTTTTGCATTATGGTGTTGCTTATCATTTTATTCCCATCAAAAAGGTATCTCTGGAGTGTAGATATTTCTCCCCTTGAAAACAAATGCATTTATAGAAAATAGTCTGAATATATGTTCTATAAGAAAAATAAAGATATAGTGCATGACAACTTGCAGACTCCAGAAGAGGATTTTCTCGTTGCACATATTTTATTTAGTGAAACTCGTCACAAGAGAAACATGAAGGCTGCAAATACTGACCCTCTTCAAAATGTGTCAATTCTGGCTGACATTCTACTCTCTTGCTTCAATACTTAGTGACCCAGAACAGATACAGAGATACATTTCTTCACTTAAACTTTTCTGATACTTGCTCTTGGCTAGTTATTGCGTTTGTATGAAAACCAGTCAGTCAACATTATAACTGGGAAAAAGCAGGAGACGTCTGAAACAATAGCCTGCATATTTTTTCACAAGATCAGTTTAAAATATTTTTTGTTTTAAATTAGCCTATATAAATATTAAGTAATTTTAGTTAAATATATTTTTCCAATAATTGGAAATGATTTAAGATAGTAAATTTAATATACAGTATGAACTCTTCTAACCTTTTCTTTTTTGAGCGTATATGCCATTTTTGCACTAGGATCAATGCCAAACTCTGTGTGGGAAAAAAAGCATTCCCAAATGTATCAGACATGATTCCAGAGAGCTGGCCCATAGAAAATTCAACTGTCCCAATATCTATCTATCTATCTATCTATCTATC